TAATAAAGCTCTTGTCCCGGCGATCGTGTCTTCTTCTTCAAGACTGCTTCCTGGGACTCGTATTTTCGCTTCTATTGGCAATATAAACTCATTTTCATTTAGTCTCATCTCCATAAAAATGACTCGTTACTACGAGCCGTGTGTAGGATACTTAGTTACTTACACGACATGCGCCATTAAAGATCAATTTGCAATTTATTCACACGTTATGTTTCATTAAGTACTCTTTCGGAATACGGTGATGTATCACTTAATTGAACTGATCGTGTCGACTTCGTGTGTTGGCCCTTAAATATCAGCTTTGTTAGAGCAGATATGCAACTCAGTAATTCAGCAATATGATCTTCCCTCAGTCCAGTTCGAAATTAGAAAGTGCATTTTATTTTCATATGTTTAAGTGTGATTAAGTGAAAAGCAAATGTGTTTGATTACATAACATGCATTTTGGATGTAAATTACAGTGGAACGTCCATTCTGCATCTCAGTTCTCTTTGCGTTTGTTTCTATTCCAGAGGCCGCTGTTTAATGAATTTAAGGATGTTTAGTTATTTACGGTTCCCGTTGAGTCAACTTGTTGAAAATGATTTTTATTCTTGCAGCATGCCCTGCGATGTTGAAGAAAAGATTCACGCTGACAGATAAGTACTGTACTTCCGAAAGTGTCTGCATAATAAAAGCGGAAAGTATAGTAATTTACCTAATGACCAACACAGCCTCGCGTTTCATACGAAAGGCAAACTAATTTCGCCAGTTTTGGCACGCAATGTTAAGAAAAGCAAACGTTCAACTAACACAGTGATCAAAAATGATATTCTTATGAATGTCTAATGAATGTTCTAACGTTCCAATGAATGTCTTGTCGGGCGACCTTTCATGCCTCCATAAATTATGAGCACTCGTGCCTACGCCACTTGCCATGGGTGCGGACGTAGAGCAGGCAAAAGCACTTAAGCGAGCGAAAGGTAGGCATTGTCGTGGCTTAACATGTCAGCATTTTCAATATGCGATTTCCTTTATTCGTTACCGCAGGACTACGCAAAAACTATATATAAGACCGCAAAAGGGAAAAATTTAGCTGGCTTTTTGATTCAAGGCGTAAAGTATGACTGTCAGCTACCTCCTTGCTGGGATTTATGTCCTCCTAGTCTTGTCGGCGGAATGTGGAGAAGCATACATTCTTTCTCAATCGTATTCGGGAGCCGACCAACCGCAGAATGAAGACTTTGGTATGCAGGATGGAGAAGAGAATGATAATTCTAAAGTGACCAGCCACTTCGGAGAAGAGGACGAAGGAGATGAAGAAAAGTTGAATGATGTTAATGAGACAGAACAGGAAAGTGTCCAGTATCATGATGTCGATGACGGTTCTGAAGAAGAGGACGGTGACGATGTTGATCATCATGATGGTGAGGAAGACGAAGATGGAGAAAAGGAGGATTTTGGCGAAGATATTAATGAGCAGCACTTTGCTAATTATGGTTTTGCGGTTGATGTAGCAGTTCACGTTGGTGGTCACCATGGTGCCGACGAACATTATGTTGGTGGAGATGATGAATTTTATGCAGAGAAGGATGATGATAATGATGATGACGATGATAAGAAGGATCAACGCATGGACAGGGAAGATGAAAACGATCATTATGAGAGAAATCCGATAGGAATATGGACTGGACCAGAGCCGTTTGAGACGAAGGAGTAGGATGAGGAGGATGATTAAAAATTGGCAAAAATTATGACAAGTATATATTGGGACCGCAATTCCTTTTGAACATCTTAATCGCGGGCGTTAATGTGTAGTGTCTTAAAGTTTAGCTTTTAATTTCCTTGGTTAAGGTTCACTATGCATTCATTATATACTTCACCCTCTTCCTTTATACCGCGAAGAAATATGTAAAAACAAATTCGATAGACGCGATGCTTCCAGGCCAAGCTGTATGCAAATCCGTCGTAAGCAAGGTTATATAAAAGAAAATCATGATTTCTGGAGCATTGTTTTTGAGGTTAACCCCTGATTCTCAGCTAACCCTGGGACTTGTGAAATTCGATCACCACGGTGGGGGGTCAAGCTAGCGTAAGTTGAGGATAGTGGCGAGTATCTGATAAAAACTGACAATGTATAATTTGACCCAGGCATGTCATTTGGTGGGGCCGTAACAACACATATAACTTCGTCTTGGAAAATACGTAAATATAATATAACAGGTTAGATAGGCAATAGTCACCGGTTGGTTTCAGTGATACAAAAAAATTAAAAAAGCATGGTAGAAGAAAATACAAATATATAACAAAGGATGCAGTAAAAGAGAAAGTGGCCCATCTGTATGGGAAGGGGAGATCTCATGACCATATATGCCACTTCCATTGTTCGGGATTTGAATTAATCGAACTGTGAGAAGTAAAAACGTGTATACATCGGTTGGAATCATTACGCAGTCTCTTAATAGTACTGAATGTGTATCATGACATGCTGATTGGCATTGACCTAACCGATGGCGCTCACATTGGATTTAATTTCGAAGGTTTCACCGACATCATTCCATTAGCTTGATTAGGAAAGTTTAGCAATCAGTAAGTTATATTTGTTGTAACGTTATATTACAAGCTAAATTTCAAGTGGCTGATTTAGAATCATGCAGGAATTTTTAATCAATTTCGTCTGCAAATGCTACACACTGAACGCCCTCTTCTCAGCTCATGCCAAGCACTCGCAATATTGCGTTTTTTTGGAATTTCAGCTTGCTTACCATTCGTGAGCAGTATGCGCATGCTCACACGAATACTGTATCTACGGAGGTCATCGACATGGCTGTGTCGTCACACCAAACCTATCAATAAACCAGTTTATATCAATATCAACCTCGAACATTTAATAACTTGTTCGCAGGGTTCAGTTAACAAAGCCATACGGACGGGACTGAAACTCGGTTTCACTGATTGATCTAACAGTATGCATACAAAAAAACTGCCAAACATTCCGTTATTCCCTCCCCTATGATCGATGACATCATGAGAAATTTTCTCAGCATTGGCAAAACTAGTCCGCTTACTACTGTGTCGGTGTGAGTGCTCAACGGACATTCAGCAGCACCAAGTGTATACCAGCTTTTGAAAGTCTGAAGCATTTATACCGTGCAAAATTGCGTGCATCCAGTTGTTACGGCTCAGACCATCAATTAGACGCCGCAATGTCCGTACATTTGCACGTCATACCGCCCTTCTCTCGACGCGCATTGTGCGCGTAGTATTTAATTGTGGCCGCGAAACAGGCAATACCGGCTAAGTAATTTTGCTATCTGTTTTACGCAAAAATATGTACAGTGTCTGACCGATCTGATGAAATGTTGGACGAAATTCTGAAATGAGCTTTCGATTACCAAGGATTACTTAAGTGAAGGTTCAACATTGATTAGCACGCAGCATAATTTTACAGCATTTCGGACTCAGAAGTCTGTCAGCTTTTGATTACACTTATATGTGACCCTCTGCCAAAACCGCGCTCTGCAAAAACGACTACTTCTGCAGCATGCAATATCGATTTTCGGTGGTAGTAAAAATTCAAATATATGTTATAGAGGACGTGCAAAATATGCCTTCTTTTACTCGTTCGGTAGAAGATCACACCGAAGAAAGTGTATATTTAGGTTTTGAAATTTTCTAATTATGAGATTTTCAAGACTGTAAAATACCCATATATACAACATCGTACATGTCCATCTACCAAGGCTTCTCATGAAATGTACAACAAACTCAGGATCCATCACATAATTTTATTAACGCTATAGGGTATCTTCTTAAAGGCATAAAACAATATATGATTTTCCTTACGCGAAAAGCATGAAACGTGTTAACTGAAATCGCGAGATGCTTATTAAATTGAAAATGTGGCCAAAGCTATTCGGGAGTTAGAAAACTTTTTTTAAAACCTAAAAATAAACTTTCTTCAGGTATAAAATATAAAGACGATATGATCTTCTACCGACCGAGTAAAAGACGGCATATTTTTGCAGGTTCTCTATAAAATATAGTTGAACTTGTTAAACCATCGAAAAGCAATATGAAAAGTGCATGCTACATAAGTAGTCATTTTTGCAGAGCGCAGTTTTCGCAGAAGGACTGATAGGAGTGCATTCAAAAGATAATATATTGCCGAGTCCATAAGTCTATAGGATTATGCTGCGTGCTTATCAATATTACAACATCACTTAAGCAATCCTTCCTAATCGGAAACACTTTTCAGAATTTCGGCCACCAATTCATGAGATCGTTCACGCAAGGTATACTCATGCTCGTAAGAACATCGTCGAGGCCCAAGCTGCGAAATTGTCTAGCTCGGCAAGTTAAGTTGTTTTGCAAAATCATATGGGCGAAGAAAGTGCATATTTCCAAAATACATACTCCTCACCTATGGTCCCGCAGGAACTTCAGACGAACTGAACAGGAGAGTATGCGGTAACAGTGCAGTCGTTTCCCAACTGTGAGCTCCCAGTCGCCAACCTATTCGGGCAACCATGTTTCTGTAATAAAGTTTAAGTCAGTGTCGTGTTCGGTGCAACCCATCTGCCTGCCAACAGTGTTCACTCGGCAGAAAACGAAGTAATGTCCAACCCAGCTCCACATCCCCAAGGACCGAATCTCCGCAGACGTAGCATAATTTCGAGAGCTCCTGAACGTAATGCTGCAACCATCGGAGGAAATCACCACCTTGCCTCATTTCGCTTCTTACGTTCTGAATATCACTGAGGAGACACGATCACCCCCCAAATGTCGTCCGAGCTAGAAATGAACAGTTGAAACTAATGTCTTTTTGGCCAAAGGATCGAAAGATTCCAAGATGGGTGTTTTCCAACCATACGATTTACTGTCAGATAAAAGGAAACGTACATGTGTGATGCTACGTATACGGATATCGCACGGTCTTGAAAATCCCCTATTTGGAAACATTTTTAAAACCTCATTATACAATTTCTTCAGGTATAAATATGAAGATAGTCTGATTTTTCGCGGAACGAGTAAAAGATGGTATATCTTTGTGCACGTTCTCTATAACATATATTTGAATTTTTAGGACAGTCGAAAATTGATATTAAAATTCACTGGATTCGTTTTAAAAAGTCGATGCGATTTGTTTTTTTTTAAATTAAAAATTAATAGCAGCCTTTTAATAGTTTGTGGTGTTCATCGGACAAAGAGTTAATGTTGCACTTCAGCTCACACGCAGGATCTCAGTCGCCTAGTGTGTTAAGTGCTGGCGCTGCTTTGCAAAGTGTAGATGAAATGATTGACTGAAAACCTATAGCTTTTGCCGCACAAGTCTGCCTGATGAAATGAAATTTTATCTGTCTTATACATTATTTGACCAATTATGATTCATTAACGCTTGCGGAAATTGGTGATAGTGGTCCCGGTTTTTACTTCAAATACCGGAATCAACGCGTTAAATAATAAGTTAATGAAATTTCATTGCAAGCACACAGCGACTAACCAAATTGCATTTTTCATCCTCCATCGATGATCGTCACCAGGATAGACCTCTCTGTGATTTTCACTGACAGGTGTTCACTAAATACGAAGAAAGATTTAAATAACATTTTTCGATGCGCATAACTGTGCTTGTAGAACGGAGGTTTATCCAGACATTGAGGAACTAAGACATTTGACCTGCATGACGTCATAAACGAGTGTTTAAATACGAACCCTGTCTTAAGGCGGTCAGTTCGGTGTTTTCCTATTCAAAACGATTCTTCAGCGAATGCTCAAACTCTTAACTGCGTCCTCCGTCAGTAAGGTGTCGTAATCGTAGTCGCCACGCACCATAAACCCAAAATATTTCAATTATATCAGGCTGACGGCGTTTAGAGGAACGTCTTTCTACCCGCCAGCGAAATCTTAAATATCCAAAAATGGCTCCCCGTGTAGTACAATTTTAGGGTACCCGTATGAATTGAAGTGCATTTATGTGGGTCCGCTGGACGGAAGCAACGATCCACAATCACATCATGCCTGCAGCCGTGCCACCACTCACGGTCGCACTTATAAGTTCATATTTCCATATTTAATAATAACAACTAATTAGTTGAAGCAAGGTGGTCTTTGCTATGTAAAACAGCGACAGGTTAGCAGGGCCCGCATCAATCGCGTTATTGAGCTCACTGGTCTCGTTTATTCTTGTGTCCCTATCTCGAGCCTAGTCAGCACTCACACAGCGGCTAGTGATCGACGAATCGTCATGCCAGAATCGCAAACATGCGTGATGAAATTTCAGCAGTTACCAACCTGCTTGCGGTCCATCTAGCGGTTGGCGCACCGGAAGGCAGAAATTCTCGATAAAGGGAATAGCCATTAATTATCACATGTATGCAGCATCAAATCGACATCATTCTATAAATACCGCAGCCTTCCGTGACGAATGCAATCGTAACCTTTAAATACAAGAGAAAAAACTCCTGACTAAACGATCGCATCTACCTCTTACTAGCCATTTTCTTGAATTCGCATTTCGGCATTTATCATCAGTTGGTTCGGCGCGACGCGTTTCCATTGACCAGACGATTGGAAAAATTTGCCACTCCAGGGTCCTCTTCTTTTGCGAAGGTTCATTTTTGCACAAGTGACTTGATAATGACTATATCAGGAGGGAGCGACAATAATGATCCACGATTTTTTAGACCACAGGGACATTTCTGTGAAATGCAATGGACG